ATAATTTAGTGTATTTTTATAAAAGAGCAGCTAATATATATTTTTTATTACATATTAACTATTTTTTTGTTGAGAATTTGCAAAAATAAAACAAAAAACGCAGCAAAAGCGCAACAAATATTTCACTCATTGTGTATTTGATGGCCTTTTACTGCGTTTTTTAAATACTCAGCAAAATGACAGCTAATATGCACAATAAAAGCACATATTAGCTGTCATTCTACAAAAGTATATAAAAAACGCATTAAAAGCGCATGAAAAGTGCAGAATTCCAGAAGCAGATTCAAGTCCGGCGAACGGACCTAATAATTCGCCGAGCGAAGGGGGGTGGAAATAGAGATTTGAGGGCGAATTATTACGCCTGGTCACCGGATGTCCGGACATCCAATCTAGACGCACCACGTCACCCAAATAGATCGGGACCCGCTGCATTTTGGTACCAACGTGATGTGCCTGTCCGAAAGAATTCGGACCGGACATAATAATTTGCCAGATTTGAGACCTTTATGTGTGCGTCACATCCTGGAACGAAGGTCTCGCCGGTGCGTAAGCGCTTAAACGGTCGGATTTCGGAGGAACACATGAAGCCATCGCTTTCGCTGGAAGAGGGAATGGAGGCGGCAACAAAGTAGATAGGCGTGCCCGGACTCCGGTGGCCACAAGTCGCAGCCACCGCCGTCGAGGTCGAAGGACCCTCTACTTTCTTCCTCTTCAACTTTGAACCAGAAAAAAAAGAGAAGCTTATGCATTATTTAAGCCATTTACGAAGCAACCACGCAAAAGAGGAGATGAAATGAAAAATAGATAAAGCAAAAGGATAGAGAGAGAGAAGGGGCCTGGAAATAGAGATTTGAGACCTTTAAGCGTGCGTCATATTCTGGAACAGAGGTCTCGCCGGCGCGTAAGCGCTTGAAGGGACGGATCTCAGAGGAACACGGGAAGCCATCGCTTCCGCTGCTAGAGGCAGCGGAGTCAGCACCCAAGTCCAGAGGAGTTTCCGGACTCCGGCGGCCACAAGTCGCAGCCTCCGCCGTCGGCGGCGAAGGACCCTCTACTTGCTTCCTCTTCAACTTTCCCATGTCATGAGACCTCCTCAACCGAAACCCCCAAGATGGGACGGAGACAGAGAATACATTCTCGATACTCGTCGCAGTCATCGCCGCCGGAGGAAGCGGATGCGACGGCCGATCCGGCGGCGGGCCGCTGCTAAGGAGAAGCAGCGCGTTCGCTGCTTCGAGGAGAAGATCTTCTTCGCATTCCATTAGAAGGAGATGGGTGAGAGCGAGAGTGCGAGACTAATCAAGCGAGCGTGAGAGAGATGGAGAGAGATGCGAGAAAGGCAGGTTGGTAATAACGATCGGACAAGATGGGGGAACCTCGTCGCCATTTATAACGGCGTTGGCCAAACCGGTCCGGATGAGTAGGATCGGGAGCTTCGAATCCGGCCCGGTTCAAATCCGCTGATTTGGTTCGATCTCATATTAAGCCGCCTATGAATCCGGACTACAGAACGACTTTCTTGGAATAAAGCTACATTTTCCAAATAGAATCCCAAAAATAAATGAATATTTTTTCTAATTTTTAAATATAAAATTAAACTTATAGATTCATATCTGATGAACTTTATTTGAAAACATTAATTTTAAGAGGCAAATGAAAGTAACAAAATAATAAATTTTATAAAATAAAATATTTCATTCATACTTCTCTAAGTTCTCTTACAAAGTTAAATAGCGATATTATTATACCAACTACATTGTTCTAGAGTTCGTCAACCTCCTTTGTCATTTGTCAGCAGTAGATTTATTAAATTTATAACTTAAGACTAAATTTAATAAATCTTAATTTTATTTAAATTTTAATTGTAAGAAGCCAAGTCATTAATAAGAATATATATTTTAGATATCTTGAGTCTATTGTTCATAGTAATGGTGAAATAAATGAGAATATTATTAGTAAAATTCAAGTTAGATGATTGAAGTGGAGAAGTGCATTGGGCTTATTGTGTGATAGAAAGCCCCCTCTCAAATTTAAGAGAAAATTTTATAAAAGGTATTGAGATTTAAAATGCTTTATGGTGCAAAATATTAGCCATTAAAATAGAAGCATAATATTAAGTTAAGTGTTGTAGAGATGAGGATGCTCAAGTGGATGAGTGGTTTTACTCTTAGAGACATGTACGAAATGAGCATATATGTGAAAGGTTGCAATAGCTCCAGTGGAAGGTAAGATCAGAGAGAGCTGCCTTAGATGATTTGGACACATAAAACAAGGGCCTTTCGATGACCTAATTAGGAAAGTAGATGTATTAGATTTGACTTATGTTAAGAAACGTAGAGGTCGACCTAAAAAGACTTGGTTAAAAAATATTAGAAATGACATTTCATTATTAGATTTAGATGAGGATTTGATTCTTAACTAAACACAATTGAAAAAAAAAAGATTCATGTAACCAACCTCATATACTAAGATAAAGGTTTATTGTTATTGTTGTTGTTTGAATGTAATAAGTCAAAAAATAATTCAGCCACATTAAAGATATATTTTTTTAATAATTGATTAAGGGAGATGGCTTTTTTACAGCATCAGCTTTCTATAATAAATATTGGAAATGTTATTTGTTGGTTTTGGAAGTTTTTAAATATTGAACAATTCCGAAGTATTGGAGATGATAATGCAGCGGCTACACGCACAAAGAAGAAAACCAGGAAGGGAAGTTCCAATGGAACAGTAACAAGGCTTCTCAAGCCCGAAATAAAGTTTCTAATGAAGAAGATAGTCCCCGGTACCTTTCCCCACAGGAATAATAAAGCAAAAACAAATTATAAAATACTTAATTAAAGAAAAACAGTAAATTGTAAAAGCTGCTCCATAACCGACTGTCCAGGGCGTCAGGAGGCCAGAGCAAATGTTCCGCATGAGCAAAGTACTTAACGGATGACCGCATCAGCGATCCTCCTCCTATTTACTAGTCATGCCATTTTCAAAAACTATAAATAGCCCCTCATTTCTCTTAAGAGGGGACCCAAGAAAGAAGAAGAAGAGAAGAAGGAGAAGTGAAGAGAAGAAGGAAAAGAGAGAAGAAATTAACTCTTCCTCGACCACCGCCGGAGTTTCGCATGACGTTCAAGTGACACCAGAAAACTGCCCGATCTCCAAATGACGTCGGAATTCTGCCTGACTTCCAAGTGACGCTGTAATGCAGCGGCTACACGCACAAAGAAGAAAACCAGGAAGGGAAGTTCCAATGGAACAGTAACAAGGCTTCTCAAGCCCGAAATAAAGTTTCTAATGAAGAAGATCGTCGCCGGTACCTTTCCCCACAGGAATAATAAAGCAAAAACAAATTATAAAATACTTAATTAAAGAAAAACAGTAAATTGTAAAAGCTGCTCCATAACCGACTGTCCAGGGCGTCAGGAGGCCAGAGCAAATGTTCCGCATGAGCAAAGTACTTAACGGATGACCGCATCAGTCCTCCCCCGGCGTGGAAGAACTCGACTCCGACGATGTTGTTTGCGGTTGCGAATCATCAGGAGCGTGATAACTGTATAAATCAGCGACGTTGAAAGTGGCTGATGTATGAATGTCAGGAGGTAGAATGATGATGTAGGCGTTGTCATTGATTTTGCTCTGAATGGGAAACGGGCCAATCTTTCGTGGACTCAGCTTCGAATAGGTGCCATGCGGATATCGTTCCTTGCGCATCTTCAACATTACCAGTTCCCCTACATTAAATGTTTTGAGTCGGCGGTGCTTGTCAGCTGCTCTTTTATATTTATCATTTGACATTTGCAGGTTTGCCTTAACTGTCTTGAGAGTGTCTTGAATTTCCGAGACAGTTTTGTTTGCGCTGGACTTTGAGCCCTTGGGTAATATAGCTATGTCAACTATTTGATTAGGATGTTTGGTGTAAACTACCTGGAAGGGCGAATGAGCAGTAGATCTGTTAGGAGTGGCGTTATAGGCGAACTCGGCCTGGCTTAATTTCTCTTCCCATTTCTTCGGGCTGTCTTGCACTAAACACCTCAACATACTACCGAGGGTCCTATTGACGACC